AGCAGCAGTAGTAGTAATAGTGGTGGTGCTCATCGGTTCCCTCCTTGTCCACGCGCACACGCAACGACGTCCACAAGACACTACAAGTTAGGTCAACCCCAATTAATCACTCAAGCGATTCTACAAAAGACCAACTGCCAGTCATGAAGGCATGAAGTAGTTCTCGACACCCACCGATGCCAATGGCGCAAGCAAACAAAACAGAAGCGGTATCGTCGGCACGACAGCTTCAGTGACTTCCCGCTTTCGTGCGCAATCCAAACTCGGCAGCGCCGGCAAGCAGTCGCCTTCCAAAGGTATGCAATGTCCGGGTCAAGGCCAGAGACGACGGCTTTCGCGGTGCCCGGCTTGTTGCGAATGAAACCACACGCATACCTTCGGTGATCCTACAGTTTGCCCGGAAAGCCTACCAAAAGGCACTGGAAGTCAAAGGACGCCTTGCTTCCGAGAGGCGGCCTTGTGTGTGTCCAGCCGGACAACGTGCATTTGTAATCATTCCCTCAGAGGACAATGGGCAAACAACACAAGAGCAAGCAGTGGGAGTGCAGACTTGCCTATTGTATAGCTGAACTTCTTGGACTCGTCAAGGGAACTAACGCCCCTGTCGTTGAAGTCCTGTTCGTCCAGCCTCATGGTCTGAGGCGAGCATCGCTGCATGTCCGGGAAGCGATCACACGCTGCTTCTGCACTCTCTGCTCGCACAGGCACGTGGTCAATGGCTCGGGGGGTCTTCTGACCTGCAGGAAGCAGTGGGATTGCTCAACATGACATATCCGGTCCTGGAAAAGCTCTACCACCTTCTTCTCTTCCTTTTCTTCCTTCTCTTCTGGGCCAGGCTTCGGCTGCTCTCCGGCTTCAGCCTTCGGCCAGCCATGTCCCAGCTCCCTCTCCAGGTCCGAGCTCCCTCTGGCCTTCTCGGCGTCTGCCACAGGCTCGTCTGCTGTCGATGGTACGACAAGTGCCTCTTGCAAGGGCGTCACCTGCAGGTGTCAGCCATTCGAGGTCTCCATGCGAGCCCCTTGCCAGCACCACCAACTGCCAGTTAGACGCCTCCTTCGGGTCTTCGGCCTGCTGAGGGGGACTATCCGGCAGCTCCTGTTTCGGAAATGTTTCTCATGTCAAGATCCACGAACCTTATCAGAAACAGAACAATCTTGGCCGGCAAGTGGCACGGAAGAGAGTGTTCGAACAGCCGCAGGTATACTTCAAAGGAAACACAAGGCGCACAAACACAAAGCAGTAGCGCGGCAACGCAAACTTTGCAGCAGGCGGATTTTCACAATGCTTGACGTGACAACTTCGCACCGCCACGCCTTCAAGCATCCAGCTATATCCAGCTGCAACACGACGAACCGCTCAACTGCACAACTACTGACATGCTCCATGAGACTGCGTCCTGAGTGCCAGTTGCAGTCGCAGTCGTGGAGTGATCTGACTCCTCTGGTGCTCGTCAGGCATGAAGCGGTGAAGGATAGAGGTAGCAGAACAGGCCTTGTCCTCGGCGGTCGGTTTGTCGTCGTCTTGAAACTCCTGAATAGCACCGATCAAGTGACCATATTTCTCTTGCTCAATTCATTGGTTCGACTTTGCTTTGCTCCACCTTGACATGGACGCTTTACAAAATGACAGATTTGTGTTTCTTTGCGCTGACTCGCAACAGCAAAAATCGTGCAGCGCCTGCTTTCCTAGGAACAAGGGTGTTGAACCCGACGCTGTTGCAAACAAATCTTCGCTGAATGGATAAGCAAAAACCTTCTGCCGCTTGGCGTTCTAACCTCTGCGATCTGCGACAACTCCGACAGAGAACCACGGCGGTGCCATTCGGCTCCCATTTATGACTGGTGACGCCAACGATCTTGCCTGCTTACCACCGAGCCGGAGACCTAAAGCTGTCTTGCGTTTGTCTTGGGACACCCTACAGCCAGCCCAGCATGCAAAGGGAAGGCTGGCTCTCCGGGCTGCATTCTTGATTATGAGGATTGGCATCGCTTGTGAGACCTTTGAGAGTGACTTCACATGCCTTCGCAGAAATCACCACTCCAACTGCTGCCATGACCATCCCAAGGAGGAAGAAATCAACAACAATCCATCTTCGTAACATTTCCAAATGCATAACACAGAAAACAGCAATCGACTGGCTGGACTGAGAACTGTGCTCTTCTTACACATCCTTCTTACTCACTTCATATTAAACAAAACATGAAGCCATGAAGTCAAGATGCCGCCATCTCCTCTGCCTGTGGAAGCTTCAACTTGGCGTCTCCTTCAGCAAGGCTCAGCCTATGCTCCACCACACTGCGACGGAGGCAGCTACAGTGGCCCTAGATGCCATGCTGACAAAACACCAACAGCCCGCGTGACAGAGTCCGCATCGCCATCTTCCAGGGCAGCCTCTCCCCAGTTGGAGCAGCGGCAGAACGGTGTCAACAGGAAAGCCATGGCGTCAGCGGAGAGAAAAGCAGCAAGACCGCGGCTCCCTTGGTAAATCTGTGAGTTGCTGGGTAATGTGAGCTCTCGAGGCCTCTCGAAAGGCCTTGCAGCCGACTGCGTGTGCTGTCCTTGCTTGGTGCCCATTATCCAGCAGCTGCGGGGGAAGCGCGATGATAAGTCGGATGGGCCAGGCTGACAAACTCCGCTCTTGGTGCAACCCGGGCACAGTGTGACAAAAAAGCCGCCTGCCAAGTAGAGGAGCCACTGAGGGTTCACCTCAACAGCCATACTCGGACGAGCCCCAAAGGCAGCCGACCCGAGGCCCGAGGCCCCGGCACGCCTGTGGAGTTCGATTGGGAGGCTCTCAAACTTGTAGACCTGTCTCGCTTCCGAGGTGCGGTACGGCGGCGCGACATCTAGTGACTGGCTCCGAGACCTGTGCATCCGGCCTGCAAAGGATTGGAGTTAAGCAAAGGCTACTCAGAGATGTCAGAAGCTGAGGAGCGAGCATGCTGATTCCGGCTTGGTGTGGTGGTGGTTGGTTGGTGGCCACTAAAGGAGACCCATCTTGAGACTATGCCCATGTTTCGGCCGAACAGCTGCATCAGGAGAATGCATCATCGAGTGTGCGGGAGAGCCACAGGGAGGGAGGGGGAGAGAGAGAGAGAGAAGGCAAAAGTCATTGAAGCTTCGGCCCGAATCACATTTACGGCCAAGTTGGCTGGAAAACCCTTCCAGTTTGCCAAGTCATGCAAGCAAGTGTTGGACTGCCGACAGACCAAAGCCGCTTCTAGCCGCGTCTAGGTCCGCTAGGTTGAGCCTGAGTCGCAGTTTTTCTCGCGGCAGAGCAGCTCCGAGGTGAAAGCCGGTTCAATTCACCTCCTGCTTTCAGGACGCTGGAGGTCAGGGCCTACAATGGCCTACAAACCTCGCCCGTCCTTGGGCTTGGGGCGCCGACTCGCTTTGGGGGCTGCCTAGCAAAGTGCGTACAGCACGGTGCTTTCCGCTGCTGTGCTCCCCACCCGGACCGACCTTCAGCAGGTCCGACAGAGGCTGCTCATCCTGCCAAGGTGTGGCAGACGCCAAAACCAAATTGGAGGCTCGCAGCTCCCATGAGAGACTGGAAGCCCATGCCGAGAGGTCTGGAACTGGCAGAATCGAGAATGCTAATAACTAATAACAAACAAGAAAATACACAAGTAAGAAAACGGTCGAAAGTTGTTCGCTGCGGTCCTCATGTACGGCCGCGGCGGCTTTGGCCTTAGCCTTGGCCTTAGCTTTGCCCTTGGCTTTGGCATCAGCCTTGGCCTTGGCCTTAGCTTTGGCCTTGGCCGCCTCCTTGGCTGTCGGCCCTTCTTTCGCCTTGGCTTTGGCCTTTCCTTTGGCTTGAGGATTGCTTTTGGCCTCGGCTGCAGAGTGGGCAGCAAAAAACCCAAAGGGTGGCACGAGCCCTGCTGCCTCGGCGACCTTGGCCTTTGCCTCGTCCTTGGCCTCTCAGTGGCACCAAGCCAAACCAAACTCAAGTTTTTCGGCTACAGGACTTATACTGAGACTCCCTTGCTCAACACACATCTACGTCAGCACCTCAGCCTCAACGTTCTGACAGACCCAAGACGAGTGTTCGGCACCTGCAGTCGGCTGCTTCGGCGCCTCGGCCAGACACATGGGAAGGTCAGGCGAAGAGCTTGCAGCTAGTCACTCCTGGCTTCTTCGGCCTTCGACCCTCTAAGCTGCAGGCACAGGTGGCACGGGCGGTACAGGCGGCACAGGTTCCGCGGGTCGCTTCTTTGCTCTGGGCACGGCTTTCTGCAGCGTCTCCACTGCTTGCTCGGGGAGGGCTGGAGCTTCGGACTGTGGCACTTTCATCGAGTCCGGCAAATAATCTGGCCATTCTGCGGGCTCCGAAAAGGCGGAGACAAAGCGGGCGGCCACCTCCTGATGCGACAATTTCGGGGATTCGGGGGCATCCGCATGTGCATTGGTTGATGCAGGGGTTGCTGCGGGCGTTTCGGGCGTTCGCACCTCTGGCGTCTCTGGAGGAACTGCCTGGACTGGCATTTTGGCTGGAACGGCTGGTCTGTCCTGGATTAGTGTGGGGGTTGTGGGCGGAGTTTCGGGTGTCGCCACCGGAACCGGTGGAGCTGAAGGAACCGCCTGGGACGTCACAATGGCCGCAATGGCTGGGCCATCCAAAGATTGCATGGCTTTTGGTGGTGGCGGGGTCATGGGCACGAGCTCTGCTTCTTTGGCTGAGGAGGCGTCCCTGGGCGGCGGCTGTGGTGGGGCTTTTGGTTTCGAGACGCTCAGAGCCAGGGTTAGCTCTGCGGAAGGCGTCTCTGGGGTGTTCCTGAGTGTTGGGACAGGGGCCTCCTGATCCACATGGTGAGGCGGTGAGCCATCATCCGAATCCGAGTCCACGCAGTCGGGGGAAATTGGGCTAGCAACAACTCCATAAGTCACAGGCTTTGCTGTGTTTCTTCCGGCACTCGGCTGCGTCTGTGGTCGCGCTGATCGCGATGCATCCGCCGGCCTGAAAGCAAAGGATTCAACGAGTGATGCCGTTTGCCGTAGCCTTGCCGCCTTCTCTGGGCGCTTCCATCTTGGACCTCTGCGATTCTGCTGAGATCTTTCCGCTGCCAGCATCTGCCGGCTGAGGAGCCAAAGCGCAGCCAAGCAGCTAATCCAGGGTCTGCTCCGATGCTATTCAAGGCCCACCTGGCAAAGGAGTCCTTCGGGTTGAGGGCCTCAGAGCGCGGCGATGCTCTACTGTGTGCTCTGAACCGATGTGGGGTGGCTGGCCAAAGCCTTCCTGAAATCCGCCGCCGCCTGGTCGAAGCGGCCAACGGAAGCAAGGCAGCCAACGTCGGAGGGCCGCTTGGCCTCGTCCTTACGGCCGAGCTCGAGAGCCGCCGCGCCGCGGCCGCAGAGCATCGCCGGGTTGCGCGGCTCTTTCGCCTCAAAGCAAAAAAAAAACTCGCTCCCCCAACCCTGCGGAGCCTGCCGGCCTGCATACACGGTGGCTTTTGTCCTCGACTGGCTGACCCCGACGCTATTGGCCGGTGGCGTCCTATTTTGTCACCTAGTCCTAGTCCTAATCTGTGAGCTCGATTCCTTCTTCAAGCACTTCGACAATGGCCTTGGTAATGCACCTGAGCTCCTGCTCTGAAATGATGTAGGGTGGCATTGTGTAGATGGTTTGGCCGAAAGGTCGGAGCCACACCCCTTGCCGAACCAGCGCTTGCTGCAGCTTGGCGGGTTCCTTGGGTGGGCTACGCAGCTCCACCACTCCGATGGCACCTAGCACTCGCACATCTGACACTGCCCCATGCTCCTTTAAAGGAAGAAGCTCCTTCGCCAGCTGCTTCTCGATAGCGGCCACCCTGTGTTGCCAGTCCCCTTGCAACAGGAGCCGGATGCTGGCAGCAGCAAGCGAACAAGCCAAAGGGTTTGCCATAAAAGTTGGGCCATGCATCAGGGGCTGTGTCCCATCTTTGCCACTTACTCGACGAGCCACATCGTCTGAGGCAATGGTGGCACCAAGCGTGCAGTAACCACCCGTCAAAGCCTTGCCTACACACATGATGTCTGGGGTCACCTGAGCGTGCTCTGCAGCAAAAAGCTTGCCGGTTCGGCCGAAGCCCGTTGCAATCTCGTCAAAAATCAACAGGATCTGCAGATCGTTACAGAGTTTCCGCAGCTTCACCAAATACGACGGGCTGTATATCCGCATGCCGCCTGCACCTTGAACAACTGGCTCAATGATGACAGCCGCAACATCTTCTGCATTCTGTCGAAGCATTTCCTCCATGCTGGCAAAGCCATCACTGTCCGAAGCGGCACCCTCATTCGCATCTTTGGGTCGCGCGAGGGCCGGCGCTTCAGCAAAGAGATGCTGAGGCAAGGAATTCTTGAAGAGGCTATGCATCCCACGCACAGGGTCGCACACAGCCATGGCCCCGAAGGTGTCACCGTGGTATCCACGCTGCACGGTAGCAATGCGGCACTTTCGTGGGAGCCCTTGGGTCGCCCAGTACTGCAACGCCATCTTCAGTGCCACCTCCACACTGACACTGCCACTGTCGCAGAGAAAAATCCGGCTAAGGCCCCGAGGCACGCAGCTCAGGAGGACTCTGGCGAGGTCTGTGGCTGGGCGGTGCGTCAAGCCACCAAACATCACATGGCTGGTCTGGCTTAGCTGGTGAGCGGCAGCCGCGTTCAACTCTGGCACATTGTAACCATGAATCGCACACCACCAAGAGGCCATGCCATCGACAAGTCTCCGACCATCCTCCAGCTGAATATGACAACCACTTGCACTTCGGACAGGCCAAACAAGACCCGGCTTGACCATGCTTGTGTAGGGATGCCACAGATGCTCACGATCCAGCCTCAAGTGCTCCTCAAGACTGGATGCCTCGGACTCTGCCTCGGCGTCTAAGAGTGCAGACATGCCTTTCGCCACTTGATCCTGTGACAACCACGCCGTCAAGGGTTCCTGCTGTGGTGGTGTGGAAGGCACCGAAATCACTGGCACGTCGGGTAGTGCCTTCTGCACTGCACTGGCATTGCTGTGCCTTCCCTCACTGCCGATGAACAAGATTGCCTTTGGCCGCTGCTTGCGAGCGACCAAAGCCTCGTAGGCGCAGACAGTGGCGGAGATCCCGCCCAGCTTCGAGTCACCCACCAAGACGCAGGGCAGGCTTAAGGGGGCATAGATGTCGGCTTGAAAGGTGTGGTTCGGGCCGGGGCTCAAAGGCCCGCCGGCAGTCTCCAAGATCGCTAAGACTCCCGACTGCTCCTCTCTCTCCTTCCGCAAAGAAGCAAGCACCGCCTCACGGAATTCCGCATCTTGTGGAGGCCGAGCTCCAGCCTTCTCGGCGGCACTCGCAGGCGACTCGGGTGATGGATAATGGAACAAAGTCTCCAGGCGAAGGGCATCTGTCATGCCACCACCCCGAGAACAATGCTCGCGAATCGCTGCCGCATCAGTTTCGTCTCCCGTTTGCACAGGTTTGATGTATGCAACTCGCTGCCCCCTGACCAATGCCTGATGGCAGATGGCAGCACACGCCACCGTCTTTCCTACATCTGTGTTGGCACCATACACCAAAATGTCTTGATTGGCAGAGGCGAAGTATCTGTAGGCCTCTCCGTGGCGCCTGCTTGCGACAGTTTTCAGTTGGCCAAGCAGGGCAGAAGTACCCTTTATCACAAGGCGATGGCGCACCATTGATCCCTTAGAGCCTCACAGCACAAAGTTTTGTACCTTAGCCTTGAACCCAACAAGGATATACCGACGTTGAAGCACCCGTGCAAGGCAATGCGGGACTGGGGGAGGGCCACGAGCTGTGCCTGCAAACTAAAGCAGCATGACTGTGCAAGAGGAGTTCGTGCCATCAGCGTCTTATGTTCTCTACGAAAGCTTGAGCCAAAGTGCGGGTGGCCGAGCTGACCCCAACCAAAGCCTTTGAACAGTCATGAGGGCAAGCGCTGCGAGAAAGGTCTGCGGGCTTTTTCGTGAGGGCATCGAAGATGTTAAGATGGAGTAACATAGAAGTGTCTCGCCTTGTGCGGACTCTCAGCAAGTAATGATCCATTCAACAACATCACAGCATCCCAAAGAATACGTCACGATGCAGTATCTTCACTCGTAGTTCTTGCTTCTCCACCGCGGCTTGGCGGCGCTGTACTATAGCTTGTTGGGCAAGCCCTTCCGCTGGGACAGCTGTACTGCTACGACTGCTACGAGAAAGCACGACTGGGCCGGCAGCGGCCTAACCACAGAGAGGGCAGGACTCCGCCGTCCCAGAATCTAAGATCTGCTCGGAATCTCAGAAGGTGACCTCACGAGGTTTGGCGCTCCACATCGGCTCCGAGACCTGGGGCAGCTCATGGCCTGGGCGTTCGGTCTCCGCCTCCTCCGCTTCGGCCCAAGAAGGTCGTAGCGACGCCGTCGGGCCGGTGAAGGGCTTCTTGCCCGTCAAACCCAGTAGCTCGAACATCTTGGAGTCCTCCGAGAACTTGGGATTCGGCGTTGTCAGCAACTTGTCCCCGGTGAAGATGGAGTTGGCACCTGCCATGAACATCATCGCCTGGGCCTCCTGGGAGAACTCCATCCGTCCAGCCGACAAACGGACCATGGACCGTGGCATCACGATCCTCGCCGTGGCAATGGACCGCATCATGTCACGCCACGTCACCCCTGTCCCCATGCGAATTTGACGGTCGCCAAGGGGCGTCCCCTCCACCGGGACCAGAGCATTGATGGGAACCGATTCCGGGTGTTCGGGCAAGGTTGCCAGCGTGTGAAGCAGCCCGACACGGTCCTCCTCGGTCTCCGCAATCCCAAGAATGCCACCGCAGCAAACGCTGATCCCGGCCTCGCGAACATTGGCCAGCGTCTCAAGGCGGTCTGCATACGTCCTGGTGGAGACGATATTGGGATAATGCTCGGGACTGGTGTCCAGGTTGTGGTTGTATGCCGTTAGTCCAGCCTCTTTCAATTGCTTGGCCTGCTCAGCATTCAACAAACCCAAAGTGCAGCAAGTTTCCATTCCCATGCCGGAAACCTCCTTGACCATTGTTAGGATGTGCTTGAAAGCATTCTTCTGGCCCACTCCACGCCAGGCCGTGCCCATGCAAAATCGCGTGGAGCCTGCCTCTTTTGCTCTGCGAGCAGCTTCGAGGACCTCATCGACTTGCATCATGGGAGTAGGCTTCACCGCAGTCTTGAAGCTCTGGCTCTGCGAGCAATATCCACAGTTTTCACCACAGCCCCCGGTCTTAATTGAAAGCAAGGTTGACTGCTGCACCTCGCGGGGGTTGAAGTAGCTCCTGTGGACACTGGCTGCGCGAAAAATCAATTCCAACAAAGGCTCGTGGTAAATCTCACGGATCTCTTCCCGAGTCCAATCATGTCGGACTCCGGCGACTGCTGTTTGGGCACTGAAGTGCCGCCATTGCGCCTGCCTGCCTGCTTGAAAGCTGCGCTTGACGAAGGCCAAGGCCATTTTGGCAGAGCTGGCAGTCTACAAAACTACTGCTTGCGGTTCTGGAGCCTGGGAAAGGAACATCTTTGGACACTTGCACGGCTCCCAGCAGAGGCTCAACATCAGCCAAACGTGCATCTCCAAGGCCAGTACCAACGCACGGTTGTAGTCGGTTATGGCCTCGCGACGAGAGTCACGAGAGAATGTGGGACCGAAAGAAAACACCTTCGGCCTCGGCATGCAGCTTCAGCACTCGCCTGTGCACGGGCGGATGAGGACGGTGGGCTGTGGGGGCTCCTACGGAGCCTCACGGCCCCTCGGCTCGCGTAGGCTGCCGCGAACGTGGGACTGACAAGTCGCGGCCGGGAAGCTCTCACGGCTGCCACCCTTCCGCACTCAGAAGCTGGCTCGATACGGAGCGCCCCATTGAAATCTGCGAGGGCTGCCTCAGAACCAAGGCTCAACGCTTGCAGCACACCTGCGGCTGCAATGTCCAGAACAACAGCAACAGCAACGCGCAGTAGGTTTGGCGAGGAGCAAGCCTTTTTCTTTAGATACTGCAATTGCCGGTCTATAGGGGCAACGGCATTGCTGAGTAAATTCCGAGAGCCTTCAGAGACACATCTGGCCTCCGGGGTAGTAGTGGAGACCTCCCTTCCGATGCCAGTTTGGCTCCGAGAGCGGGCCTACACTATGTCTGGCTACCAAGCATTTCATGGGAGAAATATGCTCGGAGACACGGAGCCGGGCTGCATCGGGGCGGTTCCAGGCTCCGTGAGGAACATCAAAGCAGAGACTAGGTGAATCTCTGCCGGAAAGCCGAGGTCGTGGCTGTTGTTGGAAGGCACCGGATCGTATTCTGTGCCATTGAAAAATGCTTGATAAGAAATCGTGTTCTCCTCTCCGGCCCGAATCCATTCCGTGATGTCCACCTCCCACCACTCGACGTCTTTGCCGGGGCACCATCCTGCCCGTCCGAACGGCCAAGTGCCGAACTGATTGGGGACAACACCGCGGGAAACCTGCGCTTGGCAGCCATCGGCTTTGTTCACCACTATGTTGTCCTTAACCAGCCGGTCACTGCTGATGCCGTTCACCTCAAAGTGGTGAACATGATTGCAGAACTCCGCGCAATTGGCCTCATCGTACCCCCAGCCGTGGCCGGTGATCAAGGTCGTAAGTACTATCTTGCTGGCATGAGGGGCTTTGAAAGACACCGGCTGTCGGGCAGCGTTGTAGCCAAGGTCGAAGACCCCCCCCGACCAAAGAGGTATCCGTGCCTGAGGAGTGAGAGGAGTGAGCTCCGTCTTGCCCTTGCGTCGGAACCAGAAGACAAGCGTCACGATGTACTCCTGCCAAGTGGCCAGGCGCAGTGTGGCCTGCGACTCTGAATTCAGCAACGGGATTGCTGCTGGAGCTCTTGTCAGCCAGTGGCCTTCGCGGCCATAGGCAGTGATCCATCTCGCGATGGTGTCATCACTATGATCGCAATTAGTTTGATCTTGCGAACGCCCTGATGCACAGACAAACAGGTTCAACTCATGGTCCCATGGTGGGCAGTTTTCATCCAAGTGGTCTTCGCATTCTAGTCGAAGCTCTATGTCGAGCTCAGAGAAGGAGCCATCCCTGACCAACTTGGCTTGTTCCTGAGTCCACGGTCTAGTGATTGAGCCTGGCATCCTCTTCCGGTCCAGAACTGGGATCCTCAGCACGTCGTTTCCAAGCTCGCCGAGCTTTTTTGTGCGGTGGAGCAAACTCCGACGGAAGCCCATTCCTCGGATCTCGTCACTCAACTTTCCAAATCCAGGGAAGGAGTTGTACCATAGCCCGCCTCCCTGGCCCAGGAGAGCGACCATGCTTGGACCCTGGCGTTTCAACGCGAAGCGTAGGGACACTGCTACAGCGGAGGAGTTGCTTGCGAACATGGCCTCAAGCAGCTGCTCTCCCACGGACTTCCCGACCATCACGGCAGAGATCTCCAGGCTTTCGTCGCAAGGATCCGGTGCCGCGCAGCCCATGAAAATGGGAGAGTCATCCTGGCTGAAAATGACGACGGACGTTGCGCCAAGGGCCTGTGCTTTCTGCACCTTCTGGTAAAAGGAACACTCGCCACGAGCTGCCAAAGCCACGAAGCCTTGAAGGTTGCTCGAAGCTGGTGGCCAAGGCGAATCGTCTTCGGAATCCCTTGGGCCCTCACACAAAAGTCCAGCCCATTGCAAGGGAAGCTCGCGATCCATGTGCCTGTCAACGCTGGCGGCCCAGCCGCCTCGAGTCCCTTGGGCCGATGTGGACACCAGCTCTCTTTGATCGGCAGCGAAAGCCAAAACCTCCTTCTCCCTCGACCAGGCCTGGATCACCGAAGACAGCCAGCAAGCGTGGTACGCCACGGCGTCGGCAGGCTCAATCACGAAGTGCAGGTTCATCATCCGCGGTGTCTTGAGCGATGAGTTTGCCAGCTGCCGAAAGCCACTCTGCAGTGTGCCCATGGCTTCCTTGACCTCCACCTGTCCTGCATAGCTCATGAACACGATTTCCACATCTAGCTCTCCTGAAACATCCAGCAGCGAACGCATGTCCTCAGTGGACAAGCTCTCGCCTTTCTGCAACAGAAGGAACACCAGTATCGCGTTTTTCTTCTGGGATGCTTCCGCTGCTGCCGGTAGCCACTCGAAATGTCCGCCCAAGCTTTTCAAGTGACAGCCCGTGTCTGGCACATCGTGTGGAAGCTGCAACGGTAGATGTGCTTGCTCAAGACCCCGGCAAGTCCCCGTCCTCGCACACAGCTCATCCAAGCAACACCACCCTTCGGGGTGGCATCCTGAATGTTTCTGCCCGCGGTGCCAAAAGGGAAGGAAGCAAGGCAAACCCTCTGAAGTCAGCAACCAAGTCTTCGACTTTCTTTGTACATTCTGCATTCGGGTGGGAAGCTTTTTCCTTTGGCCATCCCAGCTCAAGGCAGGCGGCACCTGCCCAGGCACGGACAGCATAGCTTCCTCGAGGGCGTGTGCAGGATGGTCCGTTAGGACACGGTCTCGCGAGGCGGCACCGCAGAGCAAGCATGCGATGCACAGGGACCTCCCGGAGCGCAACATCTTGAATTAGTTGAATTACTTTGCACTACTTGTCCCTGCAAGCCATGTCCGGTCCCACACACATCACACAGCATCCGAAACGCACAGCTTGCAATTGAGTTTGCGGAGACATTCAACACACACAACGTCTTGCACCGACGCGCTTGTTTCCTTGAAGCCCTGATTGGGAAGTGCCAGGGTGCCATGGTGGCTCGGACGCTCAGCTCTTTGTAGCTGCATGCTCCCATCTCCCTGGCTACCTCGGCCATCCCATGTCTCGATGCGGTGGCTCCCCTGACTCCGCCTGCGACACTGATTTGGGGCGTCTCCCTTCGGGCCGCAGGTGACGATCCATGCCTGGACCGTGGAAGGCATGATCACTCGGGAATTGGAGGTGCCACGTCCACTCTGACATGCACCTGGCACGGTTGACTCGTTTCGGCTTGCCATGACGACAGCACCCATGAAGCATGAGCAGACGACCTCCTTGCTAGCGTTGGCCATGATCGCGGGGAAATCATTGAAGGACAGTGGGTCGAACATCAGCTTGTCTTCCTGACAAAGGCAAGCCGCAAGCCGAACAACCGGGTCCGGCTCTCTTGCCAGACTTACGGCAGCCAGGGATCCAGGTAGAACTGCAGACGTCCGTATTCCTGTGGCGCGGAAGAGAGCATCAACTGGCCAAAGCCGGCCTTCACTTCCAGTCTGCATGTCCAAGTTGCAATTTCTGTTTGTCTTGCCACCTGACCCTTTGCATAAGCGACATCGTGCCCCACATTACAGACCTCAGTGGTCTGCAAAAGAAGTGAACTGCATGAAGTGCATCACAAGAAAAACTTTCCGGACAGTAACTGCAATTCAGCTGCAACCTCCACTCTGGAACCAGTGGATAAGTCCTCGGGTCCGAGAAAGCACAAGAAAGAAGATTTGCTGTTGCTGTCGGGATTTTCTGAATGCCGGGACACGCAGACCAGCTTGAGCTGTTCCCCACGAAGCTCGGCCTCTACTCTGTCAAACGATGTCCTGGCTGGTCCCTATTTGGTCTGAGCTGGCTGCTCCGATCGGGGCAGCTAAGCACCCAACATGCCGGACTCATCGTATTGGGATGGGAAAGCAGACGCACCTGCAACAGCCAACCACCCGTTCCGGCAGTGGCAGATGTTTTGATCCCTCCGACCTTGACCCTCTTCCGCCATCTCTCACACCGAAGGCGAAGGACAGTCTCTTACAGCAGCTGAGAGCCCAGCAAGATTCACAGATCTTCAGCCCTCAACACGATTCAATCTATATAATTCGTGGATCTTATGTGCTCCTCGACACTGAAAGTCTCCCTGAAACAGTGGCCTTCGCAGATAAGTGGCTGGGGTAGAACATCCAGGTCGGCTGGTTTGCGAAAAATTCCGAGCTTAGATTTTGGGGATCAAGACATCCGCTCCCTCATGCACGTACACGCGTGGTCAGTACATGCTCCTCGCATGCTACTTTTGTTTTTGCTTTCTCGCCACCAGTCAACAGGATGCACAGGTCCACCCAGCAGCCGCAGGGCATCGTGATGAAGAGAAAGGTGGCGTGCTTCAGCTTTTTCGCTTTTTCCTGCGAGGCTCCCCTGCCACTCTAGTGACTCTAGTGTTCTGAAGCTAACTCGTGTCTTTCGATCGTTGCGGTTAGATTCCGCTAGATCAACCGGACCCGTCGCAACAGTAAGTCCAAATGAGGCAAGCTGCTTCCAAGCACCTCCACGCCTTGTGCTCTTCGCCCCCTCGGACTTCCGCTTGCCGTGCCCACTGTTCAGGGCTGCTGCATTCTTCGTATTGACTTCGCTCTTCTTCTTCTGCGTCCATGACTGCACAGTCTCATCCTGCAGAATGGTATCCAAGAAGCTGCGGCCACTGTGGGCATGGACCTCTCGCGTTTTTGTGTGGAGTCCGACAGGAGCCATGCCACCCCCAACCTCCGTGGCGATCGTGAAATATTTGGGGAGCTCTTGCCTGTCGTTGGCCTTGTAAAACCGTTTCGGGTCAAAGTTCGCTCTGAGCTTCAAAGCCTTCAACTCCTTCTCAAGCTCCGGCGTCATGCGATGCTTGGGCAAGCCGAACCATTTCTCCAGCTTCTCCGTCCGGTTCTTCTTTGCCTCCTCACGTCTCTCCTTGATGTCATTGACAGGGCGCACAGGGGTGCCCCGCACCTCCCGTTGCTGGAGGCCGTCCAGGTGCGCACGGGAAGGCGCCTCTTGCACCTGCGATCGACAAAGGTCGCTTGCGCTGGCCTGGTACTGACCGGCTACGGCCGAAGTGTCGAAGACATTCTCCCCAGTACCATGCAAATACAGATTTTCGGGACCGAGCCCCACTTCCAGCTTCAGTTGTCCGGGATCCCTACGACTAGAAGCTTTCACTGCAAAACTGACGGCCTTCTCAGCGATGGCATCGATGTCGAGGTCTGGCGGTTCCTCCTCCAGCTCCTCTTCAGGCTCCTCTTCGATGGCATCTTCTGCTTCACCACGTTCTGCTTTTTGCTTGCCGCGCTTACCTCTGGCCATTGCTCTTGGAGGACATGGAAAACACTTTTGTGGGTGCCTAGGGCAGGAGAAAGCAGTTGTGCAGGAGTCACATGTCGCTTCTTGTTGTTGTCAAATCATTCCGAGTCCTTCGCTAGCTTGATGACAGAGTGTAGCAGGTCTGCCAAGCGAAAGCAGGTCCACTGCGTGAGCTCCTCAACTGTCCCGAGTGCCCGTCTTCCACCTCGCCGCGTTTTCGCTGCACCTCCCCGCGTGTGTGAATGGCATACCTGTGTGCAGTCAGGACAGGCTGACCTCCTGCCTTGTGGGATCTTGCTTAAGGAGCCGGCACGTTTTTGGGCTCCAGTTTGATCACTCGATCCAGATCCGCGACAGCCTGGAGGGCAAATATGAGGCCGATGCGATTGAACGCCGACATTCCGTTGGACTCACGTTCGCCGTTCAATCTTTTCTTTGCAGCTTTCTGGGTGGAGCGTGTCGAACAACAGTTTCTGTTCAAGCACTTAGGCTTGTGCGGGCCCGGCTACATGGCACTTCGTGCTGCTGCGATTGCTCTCCAAGTCTTTCCATGTGTGTAGCTATGGGCTTGGGGGACGAGAGATCCGTGCTGATGCCTTGGGTCGTGAATAGAAACCTGTCGGTCTAAGGGCCGTCAAGTCCACGTGCCTTCAGGGACACGGTTTTCGCACCCAAACTCCGGAAGCTTTCCACGATTGCTTCGACCCAAGAAGGCCGTCAAGCAATAAGCAAATAAACATGAAACTGCAGATCGAGGCAGCGAGGGGCACTGTACAACCCACTGCTCATCAAGGCCGTTGGAGCTGCAAGCGCAGTCTCTGACTGCCAGCAGCACCATGCTCGCGGCTGCTCGCGATTGCGACGCCGAAGGGGGCCTCGGACACATGCAACACGCAACCTGCACTTGCTCCGCGAAGTGTCACGAGCGACACGCGACACACGAACATCGATGACGAGCGCAGAGGGAGGGTCTATGACAGTCTGTACCAGCTTTCTCTTGCAGCCCGGTCGCTTTGTCTCTCCACATCAAGCTCACTGTGATTTTGCATAGCCTGGAGCAGGAACTGCGGGGACCGTATAGCCTCTGCAGGATGCTTTCTGCATTTTGCGGCCTTTTCGCTCGACTCGCTGTTTCTCTGAGTCCCGGACCGCCTCCGTAGCCTCCCGAGCGGCATGGAACCTGCTCTGCATTCGCACGCCGTGCCCCGGGAAGCGATGTCTGGGCCGAGGCCTCGAAGGACATTCCTGGAGCCAAACCACCGGGCACGGTCACGGAGAGCTGCTGCCCATCAGGGGCCTCAGGCACAGAGAAACCCAAAGGCACCCGATGCACGCTGCACCAAATTAAACAAGGCAAGAGACCGTCAAGCTTAGCTGCGATCCGGCCTCTCAGGCGCACAAGCGCAGCAGCCAAAACATCTACCTTCCTGGTGACATGCCTTCGGATTGTGCTACAGAGGTATAGTTTCACAGCAGACTTTGGACACTCGCACTCTCCGGCCAGGCTCAGGACGACAGGACAGCAGTTTTTGTTGAAGGCACCTGTCTGTCGTGTTCTGATGTCAGGATTCTCCATTCGATGGACATCTTACAACTTGTTTTCTGAGCCACGGAAGGCGCCGAGGAGAAGGCCACGGGGAAGGAGGGGGGGGGGGGGAGGCGGGGGCCTCAGAAAGGTACAAAGCAAGCTTTGCAAGGACTTTGTTGGAAATCATACACTTGGCTGTGGAAAAAATCATATGTGCATTTCGTGTGCCTCGTGCGACACCATTGCTTTTTACATAAGACGTGTAGAGTCTCATTCAAACAGTGTACATGCCCCGTAACAAAGTGTAGATGCCTTTTACCATGCAAGTAGTACGAACTGTCCATAAAACACCCTGTGAGTTACACACATGCTTCCAGTGGCCTTTTCAACGGCACCTTTAGGATATCACAAGACACGTAAAGCTTTCCATAAATAAAACGTCTGAAATCAGAAAAAGCAATTCCATGGACAATGCTTCCTGGTGCGAAGCCTCTCCCAGCACATGCAAAGCCGTGATCCTGGTGTCATTGGATCCCAACTACAGAGGCGAGGCCCTAGGCTTAAAAACGGGGTCTGGCCTCACAGCCTTCAGGAACTGTCACAGTCATGGTTCCTCACTGCAGGACTGCTCAGCTCTGCCCAGGCTTGAAAGTTTGAGAGCACTTGGCGCCAGGCCGATCGCTGGAGGCGGGGGAGCTCTTTGCTCAGCCTCCACATCCACCACCTGCGCCAAGAGTGTCTCAGGCAGAGCCGGCGGTTGCTGTAGGCGACGGATGCGACAGCAGCTGAAAGGCGGCACCGCCCTCTGCCTCTAAGTCACCCGCAGTCGGAGCTGGCAGCGCGCCTGCGAGAGCCCGCCGAGCCAGAGCCCACGAGCTGCAAAGCGTTGTGTGCCTTGTTGAGTTTCGGCTTCGAGCCCGGCAAGGAGCATCTTCATCATGCGGTCCTGGCAGGGGCCCGATCCTAGCCGTCCTGGTCAGTGCAAACAAGATCCGGAGTCACAATCGCTCCTGTTCCACGCGGAAGCGCATGGATGCGCTGAAGTTCTGATACCTGCTCATGCTCGCCACCCCCGCTCTTCGCGGAGCTCTACACGAAGCTGAAACTTTCATCCGGGATGCTCGGTCTGCTGAACCCTCAGTTGCAGGAGACGCTTTGTTCATTGGGTCAACTAACATCCTCGATCGAGGCATCTTCGAGGCCAAGTGGCAGAGAGTGCATCAAGTCCCCGAGAGCTGCCTCGGAAGGAAGCTCGGGAAGGCCCAGAGGCCTAAAAAGCTCCGGAAAACCAAAGCCAAAGCCCAACACTTCGAAGATTTTCGGGAACTGCTGTCAGGCCACTGGCTTGCAGATGAGGATGAGTGGCTTCTCTGAGTCACCCTGTCAGCTCACGCCCTTCGAACAAAGCCGCCTGTGCGGACTCGTGCCTGCTCTGTTGCTTTCGCTCTGAGCTCCTCCTTCTTCTCCTCCACTTCCGCTAGCACCCTGCGAGAGCGAGGTGTGCAGCAAATGCTCGATGCGTCCGGGCGGTGCCTCTTCAGCTGTGCATCCACCTGCTCCTGGTCCTCTGACACAGCGGACTGTGCACGAGCAACCCAAAGACAGGAGACCGTGAGATCCTTGTGCACCAGGCGCTGCAGCTCGTTGAAGAGGCCCTGGGCATCCTGGTGAAAGCCCTCCTGCGCGCGACGTCTAAACTTCTTGTCACCCACGTGTCACGCCGTCGACAGCACCGCGGGGTCTTGACTCTCCACGAGGCTCCAGAAATGCAGTCTAGCATAATAAAGCAATAAAGCCAAAAGACAGGACAAGGCGACGTCTGAACTAACCCATGTAGCACTCCGGTGCTTTTGTGCAACCATAATCACGGGTGCATTGGATACAACGTACCAGGACGAGGGACTGGTGGTATCAGTGGCCAGCATGGTTAACAGTATTTCTACTAGTACGACAACTGGTACGTACACCACCATTCAAGCGGAAAGTAATGCTCAGAGCGTTGGCCACGATGGCACTTACTGATGCCAATGCTCGTAATAATGCCGGGGCAAGAACCTAGCAGTTATGCCAGGGGCATACGGGCAGCCAGGGTTTGGGGATTTCAGGCATCACCTGAAATACCGTTCACGAGCTGTTGCTCTGATATCAGAGCTGCTCCTGAGAGCAGAAATCCAGCAGGCGATTCTCTATGATGGAGGTATACCTCGGCTGTCTCACACACACTGACATTAGACAAGGCAACGCAACCGCGAGGCAAGTCAAGCCTACTGCAGTCGCAGCGTCTCCTGGAAGGCCGCGTACTGCTCATGGGTATGGCCCTGATTCGCAAGATTTTCCGCCTGTGCTCGAACTCCCGAATCCTAACTCTAGACTCGAGACTTTCTGTCAACATCGGCATCTTTCTATCCGTCGGCCTCTTGATCGAAGACCGACGTCCATCGAGTGTAGAACCTCAGTGTCATCCAGTCGAGCCCTTCAGATCGAGGAACAGAACTTAAAACGAAAACTCTTGGTGCAAAGTGCAGAGTGGTCACTCGTGCAGATCATCGTTCAACAGCTTCATGGCCTTGTGATTCGTCTGGTTTGTTGCTGCATGGTGCAGAACGCTCAAGTAGGCATCGAACGAAGTGGATGAACCGGTGTGCAAGCCCAGTTTCACCCATCATCAACTCCTGCACGTCAAGTGCGTTTCTCAGGGTATCAGATTCTTGGGCAGCACACTGGGCGGAGATTCTCCGTTCGCGAAGCAAAGCACAGAAAGCATATTTGCGAAACAAGCTGGCAAGCTTGGTGGATCTGTCTGGCAATGTGCCGCGCTTCTGTAATGAAGCATCCCCCATCTGCCCACCATGTGTGTTTGCCAAGTGCTGTTGAACCATAAAATCATAAAAGCAGGCTAACGACATGAGTGGTAGAAGCTCTGGAGGACAGCCATGAACAAGAGAACAAATGTCGACTAATTACAGTAGGTCCGGCAATGTCCGAATCTCTCCAAGATTCACTGCCTGGCCAATACCCCCCTTGCGCAGCTAGCGGAGGCTAGCGTGGCAGCTCACGAGCTCGCGAGCTTGAGCACTTTGTACAAGATCTGTGCAATAGTCAAAACAGAGGCTAGACGGCTTAGGTGAGCCTCTCCACAATTTCTACATACTCCTGCCAGGAGCACACATCCCAGAAGGGCTTCCCACTGCTTTCTCGGACCCATTTCCGGTGCATGGCGGAGCACGTGAAGATTGCAGTCTTAATGTCAGTGATAAGCGAAACAGCTGCTTCGATAGCACCTCGCCTAATCTTGAAACCATCTGTGAGGGCATCAGAGTCCATAGAGTCCGGAATGTCGATGACCAAATCAATCTTGCCGGTCTGCAGCATCGTTAGCACGTTCGGCTCTCGCTTGACTAAGGGCTTGTAGACCAGGCTGCAAGCAAGTTGGCTTGTAGTCAGGTACTCGTGCGTGTTCTTCGTGGCAAAAAGGGCGAAGCCCATGTCCTGAAGCTGCTTCGCAGCGCCACTTGCAAGAAACTCGGCCTTCGCCGCGGCAGGACCTATGGAAACTAAGATGTTCTTCGTGGGAAGCTTGAAGTTGGCCGCCAGCATGCCCTTCAAGAATGCCTCGTATGCGTTGACCCCGAAGCAGGCCACCTCACCGGTGGAAGACATCTCGACACCCAATCGAGGATCAGAGTTCTTCAAGCGGCCGAAGGAGAACATCGGAACCTTGCAGGCGACAAACTCAATGTCCATCGGCTGGATGATGGCAGGATGAACGGGCATCCCGGTCATAATGCGAGTCGCGAGCTCGATGAAATTGACATTGTAGGTCTTGGAAATGAACGGCATGGATCTGGATGCCCGAAGGTTGCACTCGATAACCTTCACTTCATTCTCTTTGCAGATGAACTGAATGTTGAAGGGCCCCGAGATCTTCAGGGCTCGGCAGAGTTTCTGCGAGATGCCTGAGCAAGGAGAAAGACAAGGCGTTGAAGGACATGGTAGCAAGGTACAGAACTCCTATCAGCAGCCGAAGTGCTCTTCACCTTGCGATGGGTCTCTACGAAGAGGCGTTGGGCGGGCAGGAGCAGAGTGGCATCCCCACTGTGGACCCCGGCGTTCTCAACATGCTCTGCAATGGCATAGTTCACAAGCTCTCCTGCCTTGCCCACGCCATCCATCTCCACCTCCTTTGCCCCAGTTATGTACTTCGAAATTACGACTGGGTGGTCTCGGCTCACCACTGCAGCTGTCTTCAGGAACATGTCCAAATCGCCATCGTTAGTGACCTTGGGAAGGCACTATGCACGAGCCTTCACAAGTGTAAGCTTGCGACTCTGTAGCCCCACTATAGGGGAAATAGATTCAGCTTGGTGACCACGCGCATGGCAGCTCCTGAGAGGACATAAGAGGGGCGCACCAGAACCGGGTAGCCTGCGACCTTGCAGAACTGCCGGGCTTCCTGCAATGTCGCAAACTGCGACCACTCTGGCTGATCGATGCGCAGGGCATCGCAGAGCTGGCTGAACTTGTTGCGATCCTCACAGGCATCGATGACCTCGACCGATGTGCCAAGAATTCGGATTCCGCATTTGTGCAATCCCAAAGCCAAGTTGTTCGGGGTCTGGCCACCGACAGAAATCACCACACCTCGTGGGTTCTCCAGTTCTGCGATGTCCATAACCCGCTCGTGGCTTAGCTCTTCGAAGTAGAGCCGATCTGACTCATCGAAATCTGTCGAGACGGTCTCGGGATTGCAATTGATAACGATGGCTGTATGGCCTAGTGATCGAAGGGTTCGAATGCAGGAGACGCTGCACCAATCGAACTCAACGCTGCTTCCGATCCTGTAAGGCCCACAACCGAGCACGACGATTCTGGAATCAGCATCCACATCCTTCTTTGCCTTGTTGCTCTGCTGCATCACATCCGAGGAGCTGTGGAAGTTGAGCGCAAGCGGTTCCGGAATCGTGGAGCCCGGATTCAACTCGGTAATCTGTAGATCGGAGCACTGCTTTTCACTCCCTGCGAGGTCCAGGTCGTGCTCATCTCCGCTGTAGGTCACGTAGAGGTAGTTTGTAGTGGCCGGGAACTCTGCTGCTAACGTGTCGATTTGTTTGACGGTTGGGACGATGCCAAGCTTCTTGCGAAGGTGCCGGACATGCGCTTCGGACACGGGGCCTCCAGAGTAGCGCTGGGAGCCATGGTCAGTGGGCAGCAGCTGTGGAGAGACCTCACTGTCCATGATCTTCTCTGGTGCTGAAATGATGGCAGCGATCTGCCTGTCAGAGAAGCCACGAGTCTTCGCCTCTTTGAGGAGCACTGGATTCTGCCGCAGCTCGTAAAAGTCCAAAGACTTCATGGTACCCTTCAACATGTGTAGGCCATGCAGCTTCGACAGGAACCAGCGATCAATGTTGGTCAAAGCATGAATGTCTTCCACGTTCATGCCATGCTCGAAGGCTTTGGCAATGGCCCACATTCGCACTGGAGTGGGGTTGGCTAGTTCCTTCTTCAGCTCCACATCGAAGTTTGGACCGGAGGTGGCCAAGCCGCGGCGGCCAAGCTCCAAGTCGTAGCGGATCGGATCAAATCCCAGGCTTGCCTCATCCACCATGCGCAGCGCTTTTTGGATTGTCTCCTCGAATGTGCGCCCAATGGCCATGACTTCGCCAACGCTCTGCATCGCTGAGCCTATGCGGGCATCGACTGTGGAGAATTTCTGAAGGTCCCAGCGCGGCACCTTGGCAACACAGTAGTCAAGGGAGGGCTCGAAGCAGGCAGTCGTGCACTTGGTCACACTGTTCCTTAGCTGGACGAGGTCGTGTCCCAGCGCCAGCTTCGCCGCTACATAAGCCAGTGGATAGCCTGTGGCCTTGGATGCGAGAGCGCTGCTTCGAGAAAGCCGGGCATTCACTTCAATGATGCGGAACTCTGAAGTCTTCGTGTCGACGGCATACTGGATGTTGCACTCCCCCACAATCCCCAGGTGTCGGATCACCTTTAAGGCACACTGGCGAAGACGATAGTACTCCGCATTGGTCAGCGTCTGGGAAGGCGCAATGACAATGGACTCGCCCGTGTGAACACCCATGGGGTCAAAGTTCTCCATGTTACAAACTGTGATGCAGTTGTCGTTCTTGTCCCGAACGACCTCATACTCCAGCTCCTTCCAGCCCTTCAAGGACTTGTCGATGATGACCTGAGGGCTGTTGACCAATGCTACGTTTACCAAGCGTCGCAGCTCTTCCTCGTTGTCTGCAAAGCCACTGCCAAGACCACCCAGTGCGTAGGCTGCTCGGACCAAGACTGGGTAGCCGATCTTCGCGGCCGCCACTACTGCATCTGCGACGCAATCGCAGCAATCACTCTCGGCAATTTTCTCGCCGCAGGCTTCCACGACCTTACTGAAGAGATCACGGTCCTCGGTCTTCATGATGGCCTCAATCTGAGTGCCCAGAACCTTGACGTTGTACTTCTCAAAGACCCCTCGTTCATGCAGCTTCACGGCACAATTGAGAGCCGTTTGACCGCCAAAGGCTGCAAAAATCCCGTCTGGCTTCTCACGCTCGATCACTTTAATCACGAAGTCCGGTGTCACTGGCAGAAAATAGACCCTGTCAGCCATGCCGGCCGATGTTTGAACTGTAGCGATGTTCGGGTTGATGAGGATGGACATAATGCCTGCCTCTTTCAAAGCTTTGATGGCCTGACTGCCAGAGTAGTCGAACTCACCCGCCTGCCCGATGGTAAGGCCACCAGATCCCAGCACCAGCACTTTTCTGTAGACTGTCGGAATGGAGTAGGGCATCGTGGTGACAGGGGATGCGGTGGGCTCGGCAATGAACTGCAGGAAGTAGTCAAACAGGAAGTCAGTGTCTGTAGGTCCACCGCATGCCTGGGCAGACAGAAAGCAGTCAGCATATGCTACAGGGTATCGCCTTCTCTTTACCGCACATCATCACTGCTATGTAGCTCTGCACATTATGCAGTGGCCTCCGGGTGGAACTGCACCGAGAACCACGGCTTGGAGGAGTGGATGATGCCCTCATTCGTGCCATCGTTAGCGTTCATCATCAGTGGCACCCAGCTTTCCGGCAAGCTGGAGTTGTCAACCGCATACCCATGATTCTGGGCAGTGATGTAGCACTTCTGTGTGCGCAGATCCACAACTGGCTGGTTCATCCCGCGGTTCCCAAACTTCATCTTGTACGTAGATGCTCCAGCGGCCAAGGCGAGAATCTGGTTCCCAAGGCAAATTCCGAAGATAGGCGTCTTGGGCCGCTCCCGCATGATGGTGCGCACGTGCTCCACAGTCTTGGCACACTGAGTGGGATCTCCAGGACCGTTGCTTAGGAAGAGGCCATCGAAACTATCCTGAGTGAAGTCGTAGTCCCACGGGACCACGGTGACTCGGAGCCCGAGCCTCACGAGGCAGCGGATGATGTTGTTCTTCATGCCGCAATCTACGGCCAAGACATGCACATCTCGGTTCAAGCGAGGGTTGGGCTGCGAAGGCGCAAAGACTTCTTTCTGCTTTCTGGAGACCTCTGCCACGAGGTTTCGTGTGTTTGGGTCATCCATGACAAGGTGTGAACCCGGCGTGCTTCCCTGCACGATGAGCTTTCCCAACATGGAACCCGTCTTGCGAATCTGCTTGGTAACGAGTCGCGTGTCCACGGCATAAATGCCTGGAACACCCTGCGACTCCAGCCACTGCCCCAACGTCCGAACGCAACTGTAATGCGAAGGTTCGTAGGAATAGTCGGAAATCACGACTCCCTTCAAATGAATCTTGTGACTTTCGAACCACTTAGGAAGTCCAAACTCATCTTTCTCATCAGAGGGCACACCGTAGTTTCCGACCAGCGGATATGTGATGACCAGGACCTGCCCAGCGTAGGATGGATCCGTCAAGGACTCCGGGTATGCCACCATCCCGGTGTTGAAGACAACTTCACCGGACACAGAGACCGGAGCACCGAAGGAGTAGCCCTTGAGCACCGTGCCGTCGACCAGCTCAAGGTTGCACTTCCTCCGTGCATTTAGCCACCGAAGGAAGTCCATGGGCTCACCTGATGTCGGCTTCGCATCCATGGGCTCTACGGACTCGAAGCCCACAACATCCCAACCCATCTTCTCCGGGCTTTCCGGCCAATCGCACATACAGCGCTACAGAGAGTTTATGAGAGCCAGAATGCTGCAGCCAAGGATTTCGGAACGCTGTCGCGCAACGCTCTACGATCAATAACTCGAACAACGTACGCCACTGTACATTCCAGCAGAAGGAATTGCGACATACTTGTGCGGTGTCTTGCTTCTAAGAGTTCCACGACATGTCCATAGATACAGTGGCACCCAGGCCCACGCTTTCGCATCCTGCTTGCGGCGTTCCATCTCGCGGATGAACTTCTTCTGCTGGACTTTGGCCCGCCTGCATAGGAGGATGAGCACAAGAAAAAGGACAGAGCTCTCCGGAGGCGTCACGAATCGACTTATGATGCCAGGCACATGAGGCTGCTGAAGGAGGTGTACTCCGTCATGTGAAGAAGCATCCTCGGCTCAGGCATGCGGTCTTGATGTGGCAAAATGGTCAACCATATGGATATCCATCAAAATCAGAGGCCGGGCATCTCCATCATGTCCTCCACGGTCTGAGGTCTGAAGAGCGCTTTCATCAGATCGACCTCCCCTTGCACCATTTTCTGCTATAAGCTTGTCGACGAAATACGAAACGCGGGAGGCAAACCCCGTGCCTTGTTCCATTGGAGGTGCTTCGGGGCCCAGTCTCATTCGCCGTTGCTGCTCCATGTGCACCAAGAACGCCTGCAGAGAGGTCGCGAACACGCTGCACAACATTTCCGACAGGCCTTTCTGCATCGCAACATAGATGCCAAAATTGCAGCAGAATCGGCCTCGACTTGCTTCTCCGCCCGGACCTCTTTAAGAAGAGCTGTGATCAGCAGAACCGGAAAAAGCTCTGATGTTGTGGAGAGCGCCTTGTCTTCTTCGATGGCCCGCTGCAGCTCCGAAAGGAAGCTTCCAGCATCCCCGGGGCTGTACCTCCGAGCTCGGCCCCCTTCCCCTCGCAGCTCGCAGATTCCCTCTTCAGCTTCGCGGCCCCTCTTGCAGCGCGAAGTTGGAGGCGTGCTCCTCCAGACTCGCAACGTACTCGCGGTACGCGGCATACCTGGATTTGCCGGCAAGGCGGGTGCCGCAGGACCGTATGCGGACAAGCTTGGATTCCCGCTGCTCGTGTGTTTCGCCTTGCTGCACGAACTCCTTCACATCTTGGTCAAAGATGGGCATAAACCTCAGCAGGCATAGCAGGCATCAACAACCTTCTTAAAACCGGCAGGCAAGCTGGCTGGTTGCTTGCCCGAGGCACTTCTCGAACAGTGGATCCATGTCCTCGTTGAGGGTTCTGAGAGCCTGTGCTTCGCACCAGAAGCTAGACTCGGAGTGAAACTGGCTTGGAGATGTGTTAGCATCACCGAGCCCGTCACGAAAGCGCAGAAGCGGTGCGCAACTGTTTCCTTTGCTGTCTCCTGCATTACACTCGCTGACTTTCCTGGCATCAAGCTGCGACGAAACGCAAACGTCTCAGCTCCTCCATCTCTCCGCCGATGTGTCCAGGAAGTGCAAAAAGCATTGTGTCACAGATGTCCACCCACTATTACCCGCACAGTGTGGCATGTGTGCTCTGAACAAGAATCTGATCGCAACTGTAATCGAAAAAGAACTCATCGGTAGGAACCAGGTGTTGGCATGCACACCTGTGATCTTAAGTTCGAGCCAGCTCCGAACACGAAAAGTCCACCCTCTGCACCCTGCGAAGTGACTTCGAGGTGCCCCTGCTGTACTTGAGCATGCCACTGAAAACAAAACCCAGACCTTCTCCATCTCGCCCCGGTCTCGAAGAGCTATAGCGCGAGCGATTCGAACCTCTCCGCAATCGAAGACACCGTCACAGAGCCTTGGGAGGTCCCAGCCTGTGCGTTGGCGGGCTCCAAACTGACTGCCTTGTCGAAGTCGTCCAAGGCCTCGAGCCAGGCATGAGTCTAGCAAAGTTATTGTTGGACTGCTTTGGAAGGTGCCGTTGCAAAGGATTTCCGTCGGGATTTTGAGCTGGCTGAGGCAAACGTCGCTAGTCTACCCTGCTCTGCAGCATCTTTAGGACGTGGGCCAGGAAGACTTTGCCTGGCCCAGCTCCATGAACGAAGCACTGTGGAGCCTCCGTTACATGGTTGTAGAGTGTTCCGTTCCTGATACTCAGCAGTCGTGGAATTGATGTTTCGACTATGTTGCCGATCGTCAATACCAGCCGTCCAGAGTAGTCCAAAGTCATCAAGTCCGGCTGATTGAACAAGGCCTCGCCTTAAATTCATCAAGCACCAGGTGCAGCCGCCGCTACTTCCAACATGGAACTCCTTGCGCAGCCACGGGGCTGGCCACCAGCTGATCTGGGTCAGTCTCGTTGAAGTTGTTGTACAGCTTGACCCAAAGGTTCACAGCGGAAAGCCTTGGCAACCAACAGCGGCAGCAGCTGCCTGGAATGCCGCAAGCCGCGTGGGGATTCCAATCGCCCTCCTAGTTGCACATGCGAGGCCTCTCCCATCAGAAAGCCGCTGTTCAAGTGCTGGTATGCCGGTGGCGATGAGCAGAAGGAGTCATATCCTGAAAAAACATCAGGCTGTGGCTCCGCAAAGCACGACAGCTTCCGACTGCCACTTCCGTCATCCTGGGATTTCCAGGTCCCGGCATCGCCTGCAGTCTCCGTAGATTCCCTGAGATCACACTCACGTGATAGAGTTGAAGTACGGCTCTTTGTACTGACCTGCATATTGAAGGCTTTTAGCCCCAGGCAGCCCGGGCACATACGATTCTGTCATGCCGAAAACCTGAAGTGAAGAAGCTTGCCGTTGAGTGAAGTTTCCGTACCTCGGAACCACTCCAATACCTCCCATACTCTGCCAGATTTGGGACTAGCTCCGCGTCAGTGCGAGGAGCCAGTTGCAGGTGTCGCTCCATGGAAAGCAGCAGTTTTCAGCACCCCACACCACTTTTGCCTGGCTGACATCGCGAATCTTCCGGAAAGATTCCAGCAGCCTCCACATCAAGCAAGCCGTCTTTCACCATGCTTTGTTAAAGCGCCTGCACTGCTTGATGTCAGGGCGGTAATCTAAATCAAGACTCTGATCCTCAGAGCAGCCGCCGAAAATTGTATCGTAGCCATCAGCGAGAATCACCTGTGCTGAATGCGGACAAATGCAGGGAAGAGACGACAGCCTTGGACTGCCGAGCCACGATGCGATCGGGAAAGTCAACAGCGAACTTCTTCAGATACTTCTGGTAGAGGCGGGGCTTGTCATACCAGGAATTCCACATCTGGCCGGCGCCCACATTGATTACAGCGACATTTCCAGGACCCAGCATTGCAAAGTCACTTGGCTTGTCGGTGTCTACCTTGCACAGCAAACTCCCAATGAGCTATGTCCCACTTGCTCCGAGCAGCTGAACTTGGGACAAAGAACTGTGATCACGGTGAAGTTCGTGCGGCCCGCGGTTGCTTCAATCGGTGCTTCGAGTGCACGGTCCCACATCCGATTCAAGAACACTTCGGCCATGTCATTCGCTGCCTGCAGCTAATCGAGTCGGTTGAAGGACTGACGCCGTCTCTTGCGCTGCACTTGGCCTCGAGCTTCTCCAAGTAAGATCGCAGCTCATCGACAGCCGTGGATCCAGTGAACATGCCGTCGTTTATGGATTTGTACAATACCAGCACAATCGGCACGGCGCACGCAGCAAGTAGCCAGGGCGGAAGCATGGAGTTGCAATCCCGGATGGCGACATCAGCGCCAGCAGAATCATAAGCGAAATATATATATATATATATATCGCATGCTCGCTCTAGGCAGTTTTTAGATGTTTCTGTAAGTTTGAGCCTCGCAAACACCACGGTGGCGTCACACGGGTGCACGATCACTTCTGTCTTTTTTTTTTGGTTCACTTGTGTCTTTTTT